CAACCAGAGCCTCGAGCTTTGCAACTAGCATCTTCACCAATTCCCCGCGGTTCAAAATCAATGAAACCATGACAAATCTGGCATAAAACCTCAACTCCTTGAACCTGACTCCACGATCCTTGATCGAACCTTGAAAATAGTTTCGGTTAAAAATTGCCTCGTAAAATATATACGCTTCGAATAAGAATCTAGCTTCACTGGTCCTCAAGTATTGGTTGAAATATAATTGGCCGATCCGAGAAGCAATTTCCCCAATTTCCCAACGCTGGAGCCCCGACTCCACCAGCTTCAGCCTATTCTCCTGCTGGTACTTCCATAGCCGCATGTAAGCTTTAAAAACTTTGTGGAAGAAATGGCCGAAGTGGGCTCCACTTTTTCCGTATGGATGCAATGGCACGTCGCGCACCCGGGCGAATTTACGCTCGGCGCTTTCCGCCAGAGCCCGGAACGTGCTCGGAACATGTTCGTTATTCGACATTTTGGCAAACAAAACTCAGCCCACTTGATTTCTCATACTCATAGCCATTTTTTTGGGTGGCTGCTTAATCAAATGAACAATTCCGGAGCGTATATGCGTGCCCGTGCATGCGCGTATGGAGAGTCCAGAGCAGCTGCATCACCCTGGGTGTGGGGGAGGGGCGGGGGTTGAATTTGTGGGTTAAAGCGATGGGATGTGTATGTGGGAGTAGGTTTTGACTAAATCGGGGTAATGTCTTATCCAACTGTTAGCGGTGTTTGTTTATTGTTGGGTCAATTTTCGGTCGAGGAATTTGTCCTAACTTGAAATATGACACCAACTCATATCCTTCGTCTCGAATTATTTTTGTGGACTTGAAATATGATATGGAGACTGTTTGAGAGAAAAGTAGGGTTTACCTATAAGAGAAGAAGACAAATATGACTACTGAAATAATAAAATAAAGATCAAAAAATCAATTTTTCAAAGCAAAAAATTGCTCCCAAACAAGCTGATGATGTACGTTTCTCGTAAATGTCAATTAAACATTGAATCATTGTCAAGGATAACTTTGACTTATGTTTGATTAAAAAATGAACAAATGTTGACAGTTTTCTAATATAAAATCGACTTGAAAGCAATCTTTTTTTTTTAAATCCATGCAAAATAAAAGCCTGTTTGAGAGTGATTTTTTCCTCAAAAACTTGATTTTTTGACCGTTATTTCACTATTTCAGCCGTCATATTTGATTTCTTCTTTCACAGATAGACCTTACTTTTCTCCTAACGGTCAAAAAATCAATTCTCAAAATCATTCCCAAACATGCTCTAAGTTAGGAACATCTACTCTTAAAAAAATCACAACAATTTTACAAAATAAAGATAATCTCAACTTTTCTTGCCATTCTAACTTCTACATGTGCTACAAATAGTGACTTATACATAATATAATGAAATATGCTCTAAGAACAATGACTACGTGCTCTATAAAATAAATCTTAAAAATCGCTAGGATAATTGGCTTTGACTTTGTTATCGATGGGTTCTCCAAAAGCTGCATAAAACTCAATACTACCTAGTAAAAATCTTGAAAAATATATGAGTTTAATTTAATGAGTGATTTACGGAATTTTTTGATGAATTCAGCTAAAAATAAAATAAATAAATAAATAAATAGTTTCAATTTTAACATCATCAGTTGACAAAGGCTTGAAAATAACTCATCTCATTATCAAAGCATAGGATTCTATTACTTTCGTGTAATTTGAGCAGTATTTTTTATATCGTACTAATGTGAGATGCCATTCTATGCATGTTTTTAGGTTTGACTATTATTATTCACAATCCAATCACTGCACACAATTATTCTGTAAGATCTTTCGATAATCAGCAAATTTTCCACGGACTTAAAGGAAAAAAAATTTGATAGCAAGAAATTTCTTTTTGTTCTGAAACACTTTTCCGCGATCACTTTTCGAAGAAATAATCGAAAATGACTTTTAATGATGAAAATTTTCATTGTTAAAAGTGAATTTCTTTGTAGTAACGACTTCCTTTCTCGTTCAGACAATTATACACCTTATGACGTTTGTTATATAAAACAAATTCGTGTTTACCATTCCTAAGGCTTCCAAAAAATACGGTGAGTAGCTTAGGAGAGGGAGAGTAGCCGAGGATTGCGCTTGAAAAGGAGTAGGTCAAGTAACTTGGAAGAAAAACAGACTTTTCGAGAAGAAATTATTTTTTTGTTTTATGAAAACAACTTAGAGTCGATTTAAAAATAAAAATAAAATAAAATAAAAAGACCGTCTAGAATACGCTAAAGAAGAATATTGCAAAACAAAGAATAAGATTGTATTATGTAGTCTTTAAAACAATATGAGTATCTTTGTCGTAATTCATAATCCATTATCTCATGCAAGTCTTTGTAATTGTGTCTTAAGAAAAAAGACACATTATCAATTATTTTGTTTTAAGTGTTATTCAAATTACTCTAGCAAATTAATTTATTTTATCTTCTCATATACACAACCAAGTTGACCCCAATCTTTGTACATACTGCCCTCAAAGTGAGAGCCTTCGAGTGTTAAAAAAGAAAGCAGGAAAAGGAAGCCAATGGCCTATAATAAATGCAAGAACTTTTTGAAGTTTACTTGGAATCTTCCACTAAAAGCATCTCCATTAAAGGATCAAAATATGGAGGATTGAAGGGATACAAAGATTACATAATGATTATGAAAAAAGCTTTAGGGCATGTTTGATGTACCTTTTTAAAACAGATTTTATGAAAAAGTGATATTTTTGAGAATGTGTGGCTAAAGAATAATGAAAAAGTATGGATTCATGTACGGAATTATTTATTGGTGAGAATGCGTGGTTGATAATGAATTTGGAGAAAAGTGTTACTTAAAATATGTTAGAGTTAGAAATTTTAGGATATCTTTTGTATGCAAATAGAAAAGAATGAACATTACAATCGATGAAATTTTTAACTTTTTAAGAACGATGTTTGTCTTGATCTACAAAAAATAAAAAATCATATTTTCATATTTAAAGTAGCGAAGAATATTAAAAATTCATATTTATTATAGTAACTTGTAAATGTTTTCTTTATCGAGAGTATAATGCAATGGGATTTTATTCTTGAATCTCCTAATAAAAGCTTAAAGATTTACCCTGATTTCGAATGATAGTGGTCTTTCTCTCCATGCTAGCAATCCTTCTTCTTCACTTTTAGCATTCTCCTTTGTGACGGAGAGTAATTGTAAGCACGTCTTTGCAAAGTGTGTCTTATGCCTATGCTAATCAACTGACGAACTAGAATCAGAAAAAGTCCAACTTGAGAATTGGGCGACTTTGTCATTCAAATTATAGTTTAGGAAAACGTCCTCAATAGTGGACCAAGCCCGTGTCCACTGGAAAGGGGCGCTTCTTTCGATTATCTCCTTTTAGTCTTTTCTCTTGTTCTCATGGACTATCGTTCGAAAATATGTTAATTATTTGTCAATTTTTTTCACTAATTTAAGTTTGCGGTTATTTGTTTCAATATTATGTGTCTTGACATAAAGATTCTGCACTAAGAAAACAAATTTAAACAAAGCAGAATGCTTTTTGTGCGTTTTCTCTCGCTCTATTTTTTTATTTTTATTATTATTATTTTTTGGTCACTTGAATACAAGAATCCAAATTTAGGCTTAAAGTTTACACCAACCATGAAAGATGCTTACGTTCTTCCAATTTGCTTTGTTTATGAACATTAAACAAAGCAATTTAAGCAATTTTATTATTTTGATAGTAAAATAAAAATTTAAAAATAAGTTACTAAAGATTAGACAAATGAGCAAAGCATAACTCAAGTTAGAAAGCTATGCACTTAAAATCGAGTATCACTTAAACTTGTGTCATTGAAAATGTGATGAAATTGAGAGTTCACATATGGTTGTTGTATTTTTCACTGTTTTATTCGTTTTTTCTTCATATCAAATTTTGATACATCACTGAGGAGGGGTCAAAAATTTAATGAAATATGAAATGTGCTAAAATTACACATTGATGTGGCTAATTTATTTGCCAATTTTAAAGGAGATCTATTAAATAAAATTTATATTTGATTTCATCAAATTTAAATATTTCATGAGTCTAAGCATATGCTTGATAAGTCTTTATAAACATATAAAAATAAGTGGTAGATACGTGGATAATATTTATGGATCCTACAAAATATGTTAATAAAAGTGAATTGACACTTGCCAAACATACCCTTAAGTGTTCTAAAGGTATAAGAGTATGCACTATGCAACGAAATGAAAAATTAGTTCATTTTAAAGCCGATACTATCTATGCAATGAAATTCGGTCCTCACACATGACAGAAACTTGGCTCTAATAGCATGAAATGTTTATATGTTTAGTCTATAGTGTGCAAAACGTTTTTACGTTTAAAATTTTTGCATTTTCACCCCCTATTTCTACGTTTCATTGTGAAAAACATCATTTTTGCAAATTTTTAACTTAAAAATTAATCAATATACCATCCTATTTAAATAAAACAAAAAAATAAAGAAAAGAAAAATAAAGAACAAATTGTAAATATAGGTCCAAAAATTTCAAAAGCTTAATAGCATAAAACCTTCTTATGTTTCTTCCCACACCTTACCCCCACCCCACTCCACTCGTTATTTTGGAGATTCATGGAACTGCAAGCCTTTATCTCACCATCCACAACCCAACCATTGCCTAAAACACCGGAGCTCACACAACAAACAGCTGTCATCAATCCCCAAACACTTTTGCATAAACAAATTGAATGAACAACAAATTTATATTGCCAAAATCAACAAAAAATGTATTTTATCGAGTGTGCAACACGCTGCCTTTTTTCTGCCAATTTTGGCGCTAGCAATGGTTCCCACTATCATGGACCACCCATTTCGGCTTCGCAACGTCACACCACAATTACTACAATGATGGGCTTTCATCAATTTCATTCTAATATGCCCCAAAATTTTTGGCCAGTAAGAAATTAAAAGCTATTGTTGTAGATTTTAATTTTGACTTTGTGCATCCATTGATGTTTTAAGACCATGAAGAGAGGCATCCTGATGAGTATAATCGATTGGTATGTTAGAAATGACATGTCTCATTGAAACAAATGGTTTAACTAGTATTTGCATTCGAGAGTTGGATATTTTGGCTTGCAATTCCGACCAAATCTATTTGCATGAAGGTTGGATGTTGGATGGTGTGTGTAAAGAAGAGTGAGGGCTTTCTGGTGGTATGGAGGTCTGGCGGTTTAGGCGGTTGTTACTAGGAGTTTTTGGCTTCTCAGGTTGTGGCCCATTTGGATTTTAGGGGCTTTCCTACTCTGCTTCTGATTTGTTGGATTATTAGGTCAAGAAGCGAGAGTTTGCCCACCAATAATTCATGCTGAGCACGAGTGTTAGGCGATAGTTTTTTCAAATTTGTTCCTTCAACTATACTCTTTCTCGGTAGAATATTTGTCGTAGAAATGTCAATGGAAGGATAAACTTTCGATGATTTTGGCGGTGGCAGTGGTGGAGGAGGCGGAGGAAAAGAGGAGAAGAGAGAAAAAGATTTTTTTTGTTTAATATTTTAATAATTTATTTGGATTCATTTGCATTTTTTAAAAAATTTTGAAGTAAGATTGCAATTTGTTCTTTATTTATTTATTTTTGTTTTGTTTTATTTAAATAGGAAGTTATATGAGTCATTTTAGGTTAAAAATTGGTGAAAATGAAGTTTTCCTCAAAACGTGAAAATATGGGTGAAAATGCAAAAATTTGAAATATATGGACGTTTTGCACACTATAGCTCAAACGTAGGGATGTTTTGTACTATTAAGCTCTTAAAAATTTTAAGATCAAATCATTATTCGAAACCAATCTAAACTACTCTCAATGAAAAATTGTGATGACTGAAATGAAACATGACTCCAAGTTGAATGACCTCTGTTGTAAATAAAATTAGATAAACAATTTGCATAATCAAATCCAAAAACACTTGAGTTGATTGTCCCAATGGTCACCGAACTTATGTCTCTGTCTTCGATTATTCACAAAAGTTTAAGATGTTGAATTTTGGCAACTAAATCTATCAAAACGTTGACGTTACTTACTACCTTAACATCCGTTCCAAGTCTTTGACGGAATTAGTGACGTGGTGAACGGAATATGCATGTGGCGCTCAATCATGCTATTAACAAATTGTTATGTATTTGATTACTCACCAAACTTTAAAAAATGTTTTTAATTGCTCGCTAAACTTTGGAAAAGGTTTCGATTGTTTACTAAACTTTGAAAAAGTCTTCGATGGTTCACCGAAATTTTGAGATGGTTGAATTTTGGCCACTAAAATTATAAAAATAATTTCGACATATTATTCGTTAAAAACTATGTACTGCAATCACACGGATTGCATAAAAGTAATAAAGTGAACAAACGAATTCGAATTGCCAATTCCACAAAAAAATGATTACTCAATTACATAATAATTAAATTAAATTTAATATATCTTGTAGAACTTTAAGCTATTTTCACCATTTGAAAAATTCAAATTTATTAAATATTTCGTTGTTAAAATTAAATTAATATTTCAATTTCACAATGAAACACAATAAATTTAAGGGAAGGACTTGACGTACATTATGGACACCATTATTCATAATGCACCCCTAAAATTTTCCTAAATTTAATTAAAGATTCGTTTGATTGCAAAGATGAAATTTAGGTGGAAAGAAAACGAATTGAAGGGAATTGAATTGCCTAAAATTTGTTTTAGTGAAAATTGTCAATTAATAGTGTTTGATTGATATAATTTTTCACTTGAAAAATGTTAAAAAAAAAGTGTCTTTTGGTATTCATTTGACTTTTTTTTTCATGAAAATTGTTAATTTAAAGGATATCCACTTCTACAATTGTTCCTAAAATTTGTTTCCATTGCCCAAAGAAAAAAAGATCTAAAAATCATCTATAGTTTAGTATTCGTTTGACTTTGTTTTATATGAAAATTATCAATTTAAGAGATATCATCTTTTACAATTATTCCTAAAATTTGTTTCATTACCAAAAATAAAATGAAAACCAAAAAATTAAAAAAAGGTGGAAAATCAATTCTCACCGAAAATGGTGAGAATTGATTTTACACCAAAATAAGGAAAATGCACATGAGCAAAACATGGAAAATGAATTTCATGAAAAAAATAAATGCAATCAAACACAAAAAAAGTTGGATTTTACAATGAAACACACAATAAATTTAATTAAGATTTGAATGTAACACAATCCATTTCTCGGAGTGACCAAATTGAATGAAATTCATTAATTAAATTTATTTTGTGTTTGGTTGCAAAATTTAAATATTAATATAATTTTAACAATGAAACATATAATACATTTGAATATTTCAAATGATGAAAATAAATTAAAATTCTACAAAAATGTTAAAAATAAACTTAACTAGTGTAATTGAGCAATAATTTTTCACGAGATCGACAATCTGGACTATTTGTTCACTTTATTATTTTTATGCAATCTGTGCGATTGCGCTACAAATATTTTAAAGAACAATAATTCGACGTTATTTTTATAAGTTTAGTGGTCAAAATTTTCGATAATCTCAAAGTTTAGTGAACAATCCAATACGTTTTTTTTTAAAGTGTAGTGAGTAATAAAAGACATTTTTCAAGGTTTAACAAGCAATTCAAGACATTTTTCAACGTTTATTGAGCAATCGAAGATGTAACAATTTGTTAATAGTGTGATGAGGCGCCACATGTATATTTCGATAGTCAAGTCACTATTTCGTTACAAGAATTGGAACGAATGTTAAAGTGGTGAGTAATTTTTAATATTTTGATAAATTTAATGACTAAAATTTGACATCTTAAATTTTATTGATCAATCGAATATACAGAAATAAGTTCACTAACCATTGGACAATTAACTCAACACAGTCCAGGAGTGGCAGATAATTACCACTTCCCGGTCACGTTAACCCGCTCTCCCCCATTCACGTTCATTCTTCCCTTTTTTCTCAATTAATATATGTATATTTGCACACTTTTACTCGTTGACTAGTGTCCTACATTGATTTGGCCTCAGATAAGCAGGGGCTGAATGATGGTCTGAAAAATTGTATTTTGGACAAATTGAAGGGATTGATGGAGGGTGACTCGGTACGAAAATGGGTGAAGAAACTGGGAATGCAGGGGTTGAGATTAAGAATATTGAAGATAAATTGAAGAAGGAAGAGGGAAGGATTGGAGGCCGAGAGAGAGATTTGATCTCAAAGAGAGTTGAGGAGCTCAATAGTGGATTGAGGTGTATTGTTGATTATTTGGAGAATGAGGAGAAAACGGAGGTGGTGGTTGAGATGTTTCATTTGGTGGGAGAAATTGACTGGGGAAAGATTTACAGCTTGTTAACGAGGGAATATAGGCGGCTTGACTAAGGATTGCCAATTTATGCATATCGTCCAGCAGGTTAATTTAGTTTAATTTGACTTCATTTGATTATATACTTTTGGTATTTACCATTTATTAGAATATGGATGTTGTTATAGAGTTTATGTTCTATCTCTTGTTATTTGATGCAAAATATTCAGGAATAGAGTTTGGTATCTGTTCTTTTATGCATCCATGAGAGTAAGGATTAGATAGCCTAGAGACTACTGGAGTTAGTACTATCCAGATATATGCAAGAAAATGTTTGATAGACTGAATTTTCACAGTATAATTTAGAAAATAAATAATCTTTGTGACACTAGGAGCTCATATTTCCTGGAGAGAAATTTGAAATGTTAAAAAAGGCTATAATTTTGCAAGGAACTACACATAATGCATATGGAAAACTGAAGAAAGAGCTAAAAAAGAAGTGGATAGCTGTATTCTACCTTTCAGGGTTGGCACTGTTATATATGCACTATTCACAGAATGTTCAGTGATCATCTTAATATGAAATGTATTTTAAAATTTGTTTAGTTCTTTCATCTTTGTATTTTCTCTGCCAGCTTAATCAATCATTTTCTTTCCTTCTCTTGAAAAGAATAAAGATAAAAAGAAAGCAAGAGGGAGGTTTGATTCAATTATAAATAAAATTATCAATTTTTTTATTATGCTGTACAATTAATATATCATTTTCATTTTTGCACTGTCTTTTATGACAAGAACTCTTCTACACAGGTTTTCAACTGAATTTTGCCAGGCATTAGGGAGTACTCAAAGCATATTATATATATTGCATGGTATGAGTGCATGAGTGTTGTTGTGCATATAATGGTACTTCCAAGTAGAACATGTAACACACCTGGGCGCACATTTTGGTCTTTATGTTTCTAATTGGCTTGAACTCATATAATTTAAATATTTGATATAAATTTCCACAGAAAACAGTGCTGATAGGAGAGACCAGCTCACGTTTGTTCAGTTTCTTGCCGATTCAAGGATGTTTGGTCACGTCTCTTTTGTTTGCGCTTAGCCACGTAAACTCTCTGCCATCTCGTTGGCAGAAAGGGTCAAAGGGGAAATTTGTGTTGTTCCAAGATACTTCAGTTATTGTTTGTTCGTCATGTTCATCGTCTCAAGAGTTCGGTTGTAAGGTCATATTCATGACTGACCCCTGCCTCCTGCAGCACTACATGAGTGCTAAGCAATTACCCCAGATCTCATGCATTATTGTTGACGAGGCTCATGAAAGAAGCTCGAGCATAGATTTCTTTCTGGCGATAACTAAGAATCTACTTGGTGAGAGGCGTGATTTGAGGCTTATAATTATGTCAGCAACAGCCGATGCAGACAAGTTGGCCAATTACAAATTTTGTTCTGGAACCTTTCATGTGGCAGGCAGAAATTATCCCATTGATATAAATATGCTCCGTTCAATGAAGGGTCTTCTGGTTCTCGATCGATTGCATTGTATGTTCCTGATTTGTGAGGATGGTGACTGAGAGCCATCTGCCAGTGTGTTACCTTTACATGGAAAACTTTCTTACGAGGACCAAATCGAGTTTTTCTGGACTACCTAGGAAAAAGAAAGTTAGTCAAATATGTGGTTGATTCTGGCATGGTGAAGGAAAGTAGATTTGATCATGCCACTGGCATGAACGTTCTAAGGGTTTGCAGGATCTGTCATAGTTCTGTGAATCAACGGGTGGGTTATTCTGGGAGAACTGAACCTGGAACATGTTATAGACGTTACACAGAAGATGATTATTTATAAAAAATACCTCACTAGGAACCAGAAATTATTATGGTTCATCTTGGAGTTGCAGTTCTGAGGATTCTTGCTTTAGGAATCAAGAATGTGCAGGATTTTGACTTTGTTGATGCACACAGTGTCAGAACGATTGAGATGGCCATCATAAATATTCAATTAGGAGCTGTTGTAGTGAGAGATGGTGTGCATGAATTAAAAAAAGAAGGTTGGGATTTAGTCAAGTTGGGTATTGAACCTCGTCCTAGCTATGGAGGGCCGTGTTCTTGCCACAGTTATGGAAAGTTCTAGCATTGAAATCTAATTGCCTTAAAGTGCAGTTTTTGCCAGCAAAATGGGGATCTCTTCAGTTCGCTGTTTGTTTATAAAGAGCGGGAGGCTTTGCCTTGGGAAATGAAAAATATCTGGTGCTGGGAAAACAACATTAATGCGAAGCCAATGAAGAGATGCCATGACACCGTGCAAGAACTGGAAGCTTACCTTAAGAATGAATGCAATATTATTGTGCCTAGTTATTGGTGTACGAATTCTCAGATGAATACTGAGCATGATGAAACTTTGAAAAATGAAATTCTATCTTCCCTCGCAGAAAATGTGGCAATGCTCTCTGGTATTATAATCAACTTGGATATAAAGTCGCATCGACTGGGAAACACGTTCAACTGTATTTGTGACAGTGAGTGGGGGCACTTACAGATTTTGTCCGTCACCTGACTGTCCATCAATTTATCGAGTGGAAATCATGGGACTTCATGCAAACTATTTGCCTGTGGTTTGTATTTTGTGGAGACGTACACATGCCACATGGAGTTTCATCTGTATGTGTCATGCCAAAAGTATCAGGAATTCAAAGATGGCCCTGATTCTTCTCTGCAGGAATGCTCTAAATGGAGAGAGAATGTGAGGAAGTACTCATGCTGTGGTTTCACGATTGAGAAGATGGATGGGTGCAATCATGTTGAGTGTAGGTGCGGGAGGCACATTTGCTGGGTTTGCTTGAAGTGCTTCGGGAGGATTGATGAATGCTATGGTCATCTGAGGTCTGTACACTTCGCCATCATTTGAATAACTTTAGCTCATTATCTTTCTTACACGCCAACTTATATATGTATATGACCGTGTTAATATCTATAATAGCATACACGTAACTAGAAGAGTAAAACAAACCCATCTAATTGCTTCTGTACATATGTTTGGCGATGCAGTTAAAATATTTTTCTGAAGTCCTCTTTCTCGATCACTCTCTGTGCCCATGTGCACATGCACTCGTGTCTTCTAATGCATGAAGACGTGCATGCAATGTATATCTTTGTTTGCTCATGTTAGTGGATGGATATATGCATAGTTGAGTACCTTCGCTTGAACTCTCATATATGTGCTAAGTCTCCTGCTAACAAAAAATTAGTTGTGGATTTGAAGGAATCCACACCGCTAAATTTTTCTGTGATTTCTTGAATATTTGCATTTATACAATGAAATTTATTGTGCCTTACAAGGGAAAATGATGAACTGATGGTTGCTACTAATATTGCTATTATCAATACACTGCGTCATGTCATTACTATCATTATCTGCATCATCATCATGCTGTTGGAAGATGAAAAGAGCATCTGAATGTTTTGGGGCTTTTTAAGTGTGAATTTTGAATTAGCAGAATGCATGTCAGATAGAGCATCTCTCATTCTGTATTCTGTATCTATTATATGGCAAAGTATTTGAACTGTGAAATTAATCTGTAGCATGTAAAAACTGAACAAGATTGCTGCAGAGAAAACAAATCAGAAAATATAACTGCAGCCAATTGCCAAACCCATTCCAGCAATAGCAAAACAAAATGCTACAGCAGCATACTGTTTTATGCTGCTAGAACCCTCACGATAATCTTCCCACCTAGGAACTCTATAAGAATCACTCTCTACACCATCCGTTCTCTGTTCTCTTTCCAATTTGGAAACTTGAAACTCAAGCAATCTAAGCCATTGCTTATAGGCGAACAATCTCAATGATTCGTCAAGCAATAAATTGGAGATGGCGTCTCTCTCCTTCAACAGAACCGAACATTTCCTCTCTGCTTCCCGTGCTCGCGTTTGTGATAGTCTCAAGGCCTTTAGAATCTCCAATTTCTCATCTTTTGAATCTTTAGACCTCTTAACTTCATTGTCAACCACTTTCTGCCCCTCCATGTTGCAGATTTTGTTCACTGGGCCAGCAAAAAGCTGATTGGAGGAGGTAAGTCGCAGTTTTGCATAAGATCTAGGCCAGATTTGTAGGAAAATGTGAAACCCAGATCTATATCGGCTCTTTTTGACTCTTGGTTTGCTGGTAGCCATCCAGCCATTTCTTCTTTGTAAACAAGTTGACTTCTAAAATAGCTAATTTATGTCTGTTTGTCAACAATTTAAGCTGGCCATTGTCTCATAGGGCATGAAATATAGACAGTCTGGGTATTGTTGGTTGGTGATAGATAGATTTGAATAAGATAGTTGTCCAATTGGGTTTTATTATTTTATGATCAAGAAGACAGGGAGAGACCATGCTGTAAGATATTAAACAGGATTGGGAGGTTGGGGGGAATTGCACCATTGGTCTCTGACTTTTTAGAGTTGGATCTCAACCTATTTTTCTTAGCACTGCCATTTCTAATCTAATAATTCTGTAGTATCATTTGGCCTCAAGTGGATATTTTGTAGATTGGGGAGCAGCAGTCTCTAATTGGATGTCAAGTGGGGAAATTGGATTATTTTTGTGTTAAAGAAAAAGAAAATTCTTCCCTTACGAGAATCAGCAATAGATTAGGGACCCAAAGTGAATTTTCCCTATTTTGGTGTAAAGTGGTCAAGTTGAATTTATTTTTGTATTGAATAAGGAAAATCCTTTTCTTACGGGAATAAGCAAAACATATTTTGTTGTACAAGTTAATTGGTGGATTCTATTGAAAGGAGAGAAATGCAATGCCTCCAACTTTATCTTAAAGCAAAGAACAAAATTTTGAGCTTAATATTTTGGTCATCAACACCCGGTCGAAGTACTAGGTAGTTCAATTCACATGCCATTGGGATCTTGACAGATTCTTGGTGAGTTTTGACTGGTTCTATAGTAAAATAGTCTATTGGGGAATCGTAAAAATGTGCTAACTACCTGTATTTGGGGTAACTCGTATGATCTTCGAAGCCAAAAAATGCTATTTAACTATTTCGATAATTCAGGAATATGAATAATTTTATAAATTACACTCTCATAAACAAGTCAGATCCGACGAAAAAGAAATTGTCTAGAAGAATTATATTGGTGAGTCTAAGAGAGAAAAATAAAAAATAAAAAATAAAAAAATCAATTTTTAATTTTCATGTTCAAATATTGTCTTGCCATCTTTTTCCTCATCCACCCGTTCCTCTGTGCTCTAGAGCTCGAAGGACTCCTATGCCCCGAGTCGATATTCAATAATTAAAAGAGACCCCCGAGCATTGGTGATAGGGGGTAGGGGCAGCTGGATAACAAAAATGAGAGGAGAGTTGGTTACCAACACAGTGAACCAGTCAATTTATAGGCAGCTTCTCTAGTTCCAATGATCTTTGTTTTCTGCCGCATTTAATTCAAATATCTATATCATTACTGGGAAATAGGGAAGATGAAGAGGTAGCCCGAGGAGGTCAGGGTTGAGGCAATGAGAGGAGCATGAGACGAGAGTGAGTAAAGAGGAATAAATATGATGTCAATATCATTGTGAATCATATCAATTATAATGGTCTTTTAAACAAAAATAAAAAATAAAAAAATTAAAAGCAGACAATCTTTATAACAACTATCAGTAGTGGACCATTTTGAAAAGTTTCATCATTTATTAAGGAATATTAGGATGATGGGGGCAATGAATTTTGGAGGAACACAGTTAAAGCAAGTGGACCATCAGAGCTATAGAGTTTTGCACGAGTACTTCATTAAGAACAAAACCTAACAAAAGAAATAATAAGAAAAATCCATAAACTCATTAACTATTATTTGACAGTTGGATCTTGGTCCTAGGAGCTTGTCTTTTGGCCCTTCAGTTTTTTTTCATCTGTGCTAGCTTTCATCAATGACCCTTCTATTTTCTCCTCGACCTCCTGAACCTGTGTATACGAGAAAAGACATAATAATAAATCTTACAGAGTAACGAAGAAACTATAGCCATGCTTGCATGCCAAGAATATACCAGGTTTTTTTCTGTGGCTTTGATTCCATGTTAGTCATTTTATCTAAAAGTTTAAGTTGTTAGAGATGAGACAAATGTATTCATTTTAAATCTTGTCTTCGATAATTATCAAGAATTTTTATTGAAAACTAACAATTAAAATGGTCTATTCTCGCAACGATGAAAAAAAACTATCTAATATGTCGATCGACTCTATAAACTCATAGAATACATACAATCATAGCATTCAAGAGCATGACATATGGGTTATTGACTTGAGATAACTCATTCCCATGTGATTCTCACTTGGCATGTCTAGACAACTAGACTACCATTAATTTCCAGATCATGCCACCAACCACCCAATTTCAACAAATAACAAAAAGAGGAAAAAGTGAAAGTCTCTTTCTGTGTAAGGCATGTCTGAATTATATACAAGTCGTCTTTTCTTTGATTTATTTTTACGTGGTGCGACGTAAGCTGTCATCTAGAATTTTTGCAAGGTAACTAGCTCTAAGATTTGTGGATTTTGAGTAGATAGATGGGAGAAATCTTAGTTGTAAGTTCATCATTCATCTCTTTCTATGCCGCTAGCTATTCTATGTGGTGCAAGAAACTGTTTGAAAATCCTGTGTGCCAGAGAATTAATGGAAGCAAAAACCAAGAGAGAAGTCACATAATTAAGTTAAGATTAGGAAGAGAGATTCAAATGAGTTGCGAAACTATGTTATCGTCCTCGAGGGAAGTATTGACCATTGATATCCTTCTTTGCACGTCCAAATTGACTCACAATCTAGATCCAACCAATGACTCAAAGTATTTAATCTAATTGCGAGTTCATGTTATCTAAATAACAAGTGAGATTGAATCATGAGTCCTACGAAGATCGATGTGTATAGCAACTTTTCGTTCAGAAAAGAGCTCGGTTACCTTATGAACAAGTTCTTCAGCTTGATTAGACTCCTTGACAACTTTCTTGGCCAGATTGTCGACGGATTCTAGAGCTTCCTTAAGCTTTGATTCCTGTGGAAGCTTCTCCTCCACCTCTTCGGCCACCTTCTCCACCTCCTCCGCCACCTCCTCCACCATCTCCGTCACTGTCTCCACCGTCTTCACAGCTGCGTTGATCTTACCTAAAATAGTAAAACCTCCAAGTTTAGTCCCATTGAAAGTGTAAGCTGCTGTCACAAAAGCCGATAACAAAACTTCAATATATGCCAACTTTTAAGGACTGCAAATAGTCCCCCTTTATGTCCCAATGCTGGAAGAATCACTGCTAGCAGAAGCCCCATCAACCACTTTTTCCTACATCAGAGACAAAAAGGAAGAATCAAAGTTAGCAATATACCAAAACCACTTTTTTCTCTTTTTTAAAAATGTCAAACTCCCTCCTCTAAAAGCTTATATGGTTAGAGATGAGATAAATTTATTAGTTTTGTTTCGTCTTCCCGGCCGAATTAATTTTTTCATCAAAGGCCTAGTACATGGGGAGACTTGAATCCGATGGTCGTAACCTGTTTCCGATATCATATTGATCTTTCTCGTTTAAAAGCTCAAATCTATAAAAGAGGGGACATATATATTCGTCTTCAACAAAAAAGATTACCATGAAGAGGAAGAAGAACCAGATCCATTAGCTGAGGCTTTTAGTTGAAATTTGCTGCTTCTGCTCCCACTTCTGCAACTTCAACAATTTTCACTTTCAAACAACAAAGCTACAAAAGAACAGCAACTTAAAGGGGGTTGGAAATAAGAAAACTTACTTATAAAATTCATATTTAGCTCCAAAGAGGAAGACATAGTTAGGATTCTTGATCTTACATTGGCCCTTGATCAGAGGGAGATTGAATGAATAACAATCTGGAAAATGTAAATATTGGCAATTTTTGCCATGGCTGCTGAAGTAGCAGATTGATGGTGAACTAGATATTTTGGTAGCCATTACTAGAGATCAGTTGAGTCAATGGAAGAAACAAAGGGTTTATAGAGAAGAACCTATAAAAAATTGTTGAGAAAAAAGTATTATATTGCCACGGCCTTGTAATTATTGATGTGATGATAATATTTTTATATAACCAGTTCGTCTAAAAGTTTGAGCGATATAAGGTTTTCTTTATTTAAATTTACTCTTTTATAATGTACCTGTGTGAGCAGTCAAATTCATTTTTTTTTAAAATTTTTAATCATGTGCAAAGTATTTTTCTTAAATACTCAATATCTTTTTTAATTTTGATCCATGTTGAATCACTTTATTGAAAAGCTCAAACAATAAAAAAAAAAAAAAAAAAGCACTCATTTTCTCATTTAATTTAGCTTCTTCAGGCGCACTCCCACAAATCGTGTAGAATTCATTTCTTACGAAGCCATCAACATGCACAAGTTCTGTCATGTCTGCACATTTCTTGATTGAACACTGTACTGACAAAAACCAATCAATTATTTGTTTCTGTATTGATACTCACATTTTGTCGTGTATAATTGAATAAATAAGATATATAGGGGACCGATTCTTTAATCAATCCAGTGTAGGCCAATGCAATGTGACATGATTAGGTAGAGGAAAAAAATTAATAGCATATGTCATCATTTTCTTGAAAAATAAAACTCACAAGCTGGAAAAATCTTGCTCTTCTTTGGCTGTCAGCAATCATATAGAGCATTCGATAAATAAGTAGGAAAAATACTTGGCTAAGTTTAAGATATTTACTCATAGTAAAGAAGTTTATTTTGAAATAAAATTTTCTAGCAGTCGAGAATAGGCAAGTCGAGTTTTCTAGCTAAATTTTAACAAATCATTTTTCTTTATATATTTTATCCTTTAAACAATGTTTCACAGGCCAATCACGCAGGTAGTTAATGTACCAAGCATGCTACTTGGAAAATACTTTCCTTTTTTTCTTTTTCTTTTTTTGACAATTTTGGCCGACAATACACACTTGGTAACATCACATTCATCTATTTTAAAAACTATTTTTAAATTAATGGTCCAGATTTTGACAACATTAATATTGTCAACCACAATTGTCAACAATAATTGTACAAATAACTTTATTCTTAATGTACATATTAAGGGGTAAATGGAGATCATATTTAATTTTACATATTTTACCATTTTTTTAAAATGCTTTTCTTTTAATTAATACTTTTTTTTATAAAGTAATTTAAATTGTGCTACAAACTAGCAATTGGCAATCTTTTTTGAGATAATGATGGTTTGCCCTACCATTCTTCCAAGTGATCTTCTTGCAATGGAGTTAATAATTCTCCACCGCCCTCGAGGCATAACTCAGTGGTGCAAAATATAGGAGTAAAGTTATCTCACGTTTTGCTAGCAGCCACAGTGTGGGGGTTCGATTCCTAAGACATGAAATTTGACTCTTTGTAGGCACAGTGTACAGACAGTTCTTGTTTCCTGACCTGCTGAGGTACATTCCGCGACTTACCTCCCTCACAAAGCTATAGGGGCGGGGCGGTGGGATCCCTCAAAGGTTGGGGTTCAATCTTTCCATTTTTTTTTTTTTTTAAAATAATTCTACACCTACCACGCCTATTCTGAACCTCAAACAAGTGGGTCAATGAGGTACAACATCCAAAGCACGTGCTACACATTCGACACTACCTTGTTTTAGTGGATAAAAATGACATTTACATTTATAAGAATATTTAATTCTTGAAAATTAGAAGGAATCGAAAACAAAGAAATTATTGAGCTTTTGTTTTTATCTCATGTCAGTATGTATAATGTTAAGAAAAGATCCTTTGCACAAAATTTAATGTAAACACTGGAATGTATGAAGCGCAAATTCTTGGATATAGCAAGGTGCTTTAGAGATGTACTAGTAAATGACGGGCTTTGGGGGCTGTCCTGAAGGAGAGATTGGGGTCTTGAATAAATAAAGTACCTAGGGAGTAAAATATCGGATTTCGTTGTGTTTAAAAGTTACGTATTTAGAGAAACAAGTTAAGACTTGCATTTGAACAAGTAAATTTTGTTAGCTTAGAAAAGTAAGTTTTCTACACGTATAGTAACAATAAGTAACTTAAAAGTAGTTTTATTTAGTAATTTACTATTTGATGTCATATTGGTGGTAGGATGTTCTGGACCAAGGACCCTGATAAGTGTCTTACAAGATCGGCCCTGACCCAAGGCAACCAAGGCCATTGCCTAGGGTCTCCAACTTGAAGGGGCTTCAAAAGAATCCAAGATCCAACAAAATATTTCCTTTTTTTTTTTGGGTTGGGTCTCTAGCCCTTTAAAATACAACAACAATATTGGTCTAAATAAGAGGCCCAAATTACTTGGATCATTAACTTACATTCTTGTTTAAGAAATAAAATGGATCTATAATTAAACTATTGTCTTGTGATATATTTTGTTGTATTTTTCTATCTACCAAGATGGCAAGATCTACAAAAATAAAATAAAATAATAACAATAAAATTAAAAAAAAAAAGAATCAATGCATAAAAAAATAAATTAAAGTAATTTCGCTATAATGTTTTCTTAACCTTATAAAATTTCTTTAAAAAATAAATTAAAAGTTCACATTTCATTTTTTAAAAGCTATAGAGAATTTGAATTTGAATTATCATAATTGATATTTGTTGATGTCAAAATTAGTAAGGATAATTTTGAACCAATTTTAAGAAAAAAGGCGATTTGTGCTTAGAAAAGATCACAAAGATGTCATTTTAGTGTGACTGTGCCATAAGTCGTTATATGAATTTGCTCTGCCTTTACAAGGGTCCTATTCAACTATTTATACATAGTTTCAGCCGAAATTACATCAAATCAATCAAATCAGCAATAGTGTCGAGCTCGAAACTCGGGTTGCTAAATTCTCCTGTGATTGGTCGATGAGGTCGGTGGTCATGTGTCAATGTATTACCCAGGTAATGATGACATGTAAAGGGCTGGAGTTTGAGGACTTGGAATTGGTTGTTACGGGCGGCGATGACATCACATGTGGCAAGTGTCTCTGATTGATAGGGTGATGTGACAAGGGGTAATCATGATATTTTTCTAAGATAACGACGGTAACTCCGACCTAGAAGTGTGGACCGAACTTACGTTTAACTGAGGTGGGGGTTAGCGAACTGTTTATACCAGATCGGAGTTCGGATATCAACAATTACCCCCAGGTCAACTCTATCGTACGGAGGCTGACCTCAATGATGCTTTCTCCAAGAAGTACATTTATGGTTGTGACAAGTGTCATGTTTTGAGGTGGATGAGCTGTACGCCATTTATAAGTAGTTTCTTCAGCAAGCTTGGCCAAAACTACGTCGTTTTGTCTCCCAAACTTTTGGACCGTTGATATTTTCTCTCTATTTCTGGATGAATGGCTCAGATCGCGCCCTCTCATCTTCCCTTTCTTTAAATTCGTCTTTAATCAATCATTTCTCTTCCTATTTTGCTGATTTTACTTTCTTAGATATTTGGGCGATATCCCTAAGTTTGTTTTCCCGTATTCGAGTGAGGTCGTTTTCTTAGTTTGTCTCCCAGGTATCCTTCTGTTTTTATCTACTGCCTCCTTTCAGTTTGTGCTTCTTTTCTTAGTTTATACATGAGTTCGGATGAGTCTAGAGTTCATTCATGGGGCAACCAGCAGGAAAAGTCAGTCTCATTCTTGACGAGTTCGTCTTCCAGTTATAGGGAAGTTTTTACCCCCATTCCTATTTTCGTAGTTAACCCAACTGACCTAGGGCATCCTGTGATGGACTTAGGATGTGAGAGTTCCAAAGGAGCAGGTAGATTCAGTAACGATGTTGACGAGAGTAATTCTGGGGAGTGGAGAGCGAGTTCTTATAGGTCGGTTATGACAGGGGATGTGTTGGCTAGCTGGGGAGCTAAATACGCCATTCCTAGTTTGGTAGTTATGATAATACCAGAGCCATCTGACCGAGCTGACACTCATCTTGAGGGATTTGTTGCTCTGAACTCGGCTATCCTCCAGGCTAGCCTTAGGCTTCCTTTTCCTAGGGTGATTCGTAAATTCCTTTCTTCTTGGGGCATAGCTCCCATGCAACTATGCCCTAACGGGTGGCGAACCTTAATAGCTACCCTTATTCTGTGGGACCAAATGGGCAATTCGATTCTCTGTTTACTTTTAAGGAGGATGGGAAGAACTCGGGCTGGTGGTACATAAGCGTTAGGCCCAGGACGGGAGGTTTTTTGGTGTTAGACACCCCTTCCTCAATTAAGAAATGGAAGGAAGAATGGTTTTATGTATCGGGGGAGTGGCAGTTTCTTTCTGCCGAGGTGAATAGGGAGGACGTGGTTCCCAGGCTCTATCATTCGTTATGTAAGTGTCTTTTTGGGCTTTAGTCTTTTAGCAAGGCATATGTTTGACGAAGTGCTAACCTTGGTATTTTTTCTTTGTGCAGATTACAAGAAGGAGACGTTAACCAAAGATACTCAGAGACGAGCTGAGAAAATAAGATCGTTACCTAAAAAGCAAAGGTCCTGTAAGTTTGTAATCTCAAATTCAAACTTATACCGGGCCAGACTGCTTCAAGTACGAGCTTCAAGTTCGGCTCCATCCAGTTCAGGTAATATTTTGATCTTCATTCGCGGTTATAATTTCTTTACGTATATACATATTTTTTGCGCATTTCGCTGCTTTCTCAGGTCATCAGGACAAAATGCGGGGCTACAAGGCAGCTAAGGCGGCGGCTGCAGCTAAGGGAAAAAAGAGAAAAGTCCCAGAATGGATGGAGAGCCGTTCTGAAGAAGTGGAGGAGGAGGTTCCGTTAAAGAGGAACCGATTTGCGCCCCCCAGTATCACTGAGAATTCTAGAGGCAGTGCCTTTGCTGAGCCCGACCCTGCCGTCCCCCTCGTTGCCATCCCCGGTTGCCCCTTCTGCTGTGGGGACCAGTTCTGCGAACTTGCAGGATCGGTGCCCAGATTTACAGAGGCCGAGCTGGGAAAGTCTGGTGGGACACAAACCAGAGATATTTCTAGAATATCTCTGAGCTCATTTTCCTTCCAGGGGCATGAGTGTCGCCCTCACTTCACCTTTGAGGGAGTCGGAAAATCTATTTACCCGGAGTTAGGGTGAGAGAAAGCAGGGCTATCTGAA